CACTCGCATGTGATCCGTTCTTGGTGCGCATGAAGAGGGGTGCATCTCCCAATTTTCCCAGTTTAATAACATCACTCGAATGTGATCCGTTCTTCGTGCGCATGAAGAGCAGGGGTGCATCTCCCGATTTTTCTTGTTAAATAACATCACTCGCATATGATCCATTCTTGGTGCGCATGAAGAGGGGTGCATCTCCCAATTTTTCTAGTTAAATAACATCACTCACATGTGATCCATTCTTGGTGCGCATGAAGAGGGGTGTATCTCCCAATTTTCCTATTTTAATAACATCACTCGCATGTGATCCGTTCTTGATGCGCATGAAGAGGGGTGCATCTCTGCCGCATGCTAAGGAAAAACGCCGTATGAGCCTGCAGGCGTTGCCAAATTTCCTCTGGCAAATCACTAATTTTCAGGAAAATTTTTGAATATTTCTCTGTTAATTTCTCAGATAATTTTGTTTGTAATTTGATCTAAAGTGTCTGAAAATTTCAAGGAAAAATATTCATAATTTTCCTAAAAAATAAACATTTTATCCAAGGATATTTGGGAACTCTCGAATGTCCATACGGCGTTATTTGAGAGAAATTTCTTTGCTCGAATAAAATCACTTCGCTTCGATGGATGGTACTGTTAAAATATTGTCTCAAATAGGCTCGGAATTTGAGTAATAATATTGTCAACAAATATTTATGGGTAACTTCAAAGTTTGTTTTCAATAATACTGACACTAAGCTGAGCTAAATGAGGTTTTTTCCTATCTTTCTAGTTTTCTTATCTTTCAGGTCTTGCGTTTAAGTCTCCTGAAGATTTACATGATATATGTTCGTTTTATAAAAGCTACGATTTGTAAAAACTTCAGGAGACTTGAACGCAAGGACAGAAAAGTAGGAAGGGACCATTTGGAAAACGGTTTGTAAATAATATGATGTGCAGGTACTTCAAGGTGTATTATAACTCCATAAATCAAATGTACGTTGTGTTTATCTGAACGGTCCCTTTCTATATTCTTCTAGCGTTCAAGTCTTCTGAAGTATGAACACATTACATCCTTTATAAACTGAACCTAACATACATTGCGCATTGACCCTAATGTCACTGATTTCTGTTCGCAGTTCCAGCCCAGCATCATATTGATGCTTCCTATGTTGTGCATGAACCGCATGATACTTATCAGATCTCTTATTGACCAATCACGCGTCATATAGATTCACCTCTCATTCGATTTATCTCGATACTCTTCTGATTCTACTTTTCTAATGCTGCGTTCAAGTCTCCTGCCCTAAAATTTCAATTAATTGAGAGTACTGTAATTGGCAATCAAACGCACCTACCGCCTACCGTGGATTGAAAATTATGAGATTAGCGCCTCTCCTATACTTCTCTTGTTTCAAGTTCAAGTCTCCATATGCATGCACGCATAAGGCAAGCCATAATTCCTTCATTAGATTAAACACTCACTGTAAGTGCCGACGATTTTTATGAGCATATTTCTTTTCTGCGTTCTACTCTACATCCTAGCCTTACGTTTAAATTTCATGACGAGTACAGAGGCCGTCATAAATACAGAGTAGGCACATGGTATCACATAATTCATGTGACATGTGATAATAATTCTCTCCATGAATACTGTCGCCTCCCTAGCTCCTTCACCGGTATAATTATAATGGATTGCGTTCTGAGTTTTGATCCGCAAAATAAAACGAGCGTTACTTTGAAATATCCAAACCTTACTCTTATCAATCTTAGATGTAAACATACATCTGCAAAATTTTGGTGGACATTGAACCTCACGCATTCGGAGGGCAAATACTTAGGAGGGAAACGTTGTTCAGAGGGGAAAAATTTTACTCAGAGGGAAGGGACCTCGGAAAAATCTCACCAAATGCCCTTGAATTGATCAGATTACATTTTAACCAACTCATACTAAGGTCAACTTTAAAGTGCCCTCTCAAATTGACACCTCTAGAGTCCGTCCGAAATAAATTATTCTCGTGAAAAGATGGTTATTCCCGAGATGACGATAGCACAAAGATATATGTTCGTATTTTTGACCGAGCGTATGATCCCATCACAATGAATACATAGTCCGTTTGTTTACATTTTAAGGGGTTCAGAGCTCAAACGAGGTGAGGTGAACAACCTCGGACCAGCTGAGCAAATAGCATTGTGAAGCCTGTCTGTGTAGAACACCATAGTGAACACCCTCTTGATGGGGCCGGGCTACGCTACGGACAGTTTCGCACAAATTCTATCGTATAGATCAATTTGGCAAAAATGCATTCAGGATATGACCCCATTTGCATGATATTTTAGCTAACCGTGCCAATTTATCATTCATTGGTCAAAATTGTATTTACATCAAACTAATGAAACTTGAATAAATTAAAATTATTACATTTAGAATAATCAACTTCAAGAAAAGTTCAACGGTAATTTATGGACATTTGATCACATCGGGCAGAGTAAGATGAAAATTTTGATGAGCTCGAGGGCATTTGATCGATCTTGATGAAAACTTTATCAAGCTTTTCAAGTTCAATCATCAATGAAAAGCATGATTTGAAAGGACGTTTGGTCGGGTAACGACGAAGTTTGGAACAAGTCAATCGCAATTCCATATAAAATTGGTGAGTAGGCAAAAAACTGACGGAGGTTTGAACACGTTCTAGAATACTTGATAGAGCTTAGACGACGCTGAGAAAGTTTGAAGAATTGACGGCATTATCCTTAGTTTGATCAAATTCCTAATTCAATGGTACCAAAATGTGCAAAACTAAAAGTTCACCTAACTGCAGAATGCAGCTATGGGGTGGCCAACGGATAGAAAAGAATTTAGTGCCTACCGGGTTCCTGATTATGTATGATTCCCAGGAGATCTAGCAAGCCGTTTTAGATTCCCATCAGTGACAATCATGCATCCAAACACGTGCATCAGCGAGGTGATAAGTGCTATCAGAAATCTGGTAATGGCTGCCAGATTTCGCGGGGATCAGATATAATCAGGAATCCGGTAACCACTTGCATTCTTTTTTACCGTGCGGCGGGACTTACCGGAGAGAATGCTACACAGCACGTCAACCATCGATGGCTAACAAACAATACCGTTCATTTTTTCGAACTTCGCCATTTTTGTAATTTTAAGGGTAGATATGCAATTTTTCATCCTATACAGCGTCACTGAAGCGCTCCCCTCGACTGAATTGGGAAAAAACTAAAATCATCAGCTTGCGTATATTATATTGTACACAGCGAGAAAGTCGCCAACTCATTTTTGCCAAAATTGTCAGTAAGGCGGTATTGTTCGTCAACCCTCACTATGGTGAATGTAGCCGACGGGATTCGAAAGTTTGGAAGGGTGGAGGATTTTCGATTGTCCTTAATAGCGTGCTGATTATTGAAATCGATAGACAAAGCGCTAGACAAGAAGACATGGGGAGTATGGAACGATCCTATCGGTTAAAATGGGTGATTCTAATAGACTAAGGGAGAAATTGATGGACTAACTAACTGTGCAGTCTCTTGTGGGTTGCCGTTAGTTAGTCTCTTACCCACCTCCTTCGTCCATTGCACTGGAAAAAACACATTGGATCTAGAGTACAGACTCTTAAAAACATCGACAAGAAAAAGTACTCTTGATTAAATCAGAATGTAGCTTAAATCAAGAACCAAGTTTCTTAATTTCAGCGGATTTCGTTTTGACTCTAGCAAAAATCCGATTGAATTAAGAGTATTTATTCTTGTCAATGTTTTGAAGAGGCTGGACTCTAGATATAAGGTGTTTTTTTCTTTCAGTGTGCAACCTCCTGTTTCCACCAATAGAGTGGCTTCATATCCCCTTTGTCTATAGCTTTGTCGATCAATTTCAACAATAATAAAGGGAATGAGCGTGGATAACGGCGACTGTAGCGATTGAGGCGGGACTCACCGGAGAAGAAGCTGCTGGCGAGGGAATCTCCGTCGGAGTCGGAGTCGGCGTCGGCATCATCCTGAGCACTGACGGACAGCCTCTGTCCAAAAGCGAATAAGAAACAGATCACACCGAGCAGATAGACAGACGGCTCGACGACTGTCTTCATTGTTCGAGCACTGGTCAGCAGAGGACACGGACACGGACACGGACGCGGGCTCGGACACGGACGACACGGACGGAGCAGAGCAAACACATGGGCCCGAGGAGTAGGAGCATCCGGAAGAACACGGGGAAACACAAGACTCGGCCGAGGAAACGCAGCCCACTAACGCCGTCCACCAGCGACTCCGGAATCTCTCGGCCCCGGCTCCGGCCCCGGCAGCCCCGACCCCGCTCCTCCGCCGCGCCGTCCGTCCTCTTCTTCTCTTCTGTGTCAGGACTCCGCACTCGGGACTCGACTCGACGGAGAAGGAGCAGGAGCCAGCGCGTGACGTCACTCGCCGTCGACGTCGCTCTCCTATCCGGATTCCGAGGAATTCGTGTGTGCGTCTTCCTGTGTGCCACCGCCGCGTCGCGCGTCCCACTTGTGCCCGAGTGAGTAAGCTTCGGCCGCTTCCAGCCGTCCCGCCTCGCCGCCTCACCGGAGGCCGGAGGCGGGCAAAGGACGCCGTTCTGTCAATGGGAGCTCCCCGTCCAGACCCCAGGGAAGTGAAACGTAGGTATGCTCTTCCCGACCCATTTTGCCAGAACTCGGCCTTCGACACCAAGAGTCCCTTTATACTGAGAGTCAAGACAACACCCCCTCATGGAGTCACAAACGGGAATAAAGATTACACAAATTGAACGTTTTTTGTAATCTTTGATCGGCCCATTCTCAAATTCCTTTCTCCGTTCCTTCTCTCATTCCGTTTGTTCCTTGCCGAACCCGTGATTCCCTGGTCCATTCCAGATTAAAATCTTTGCAATCGGTGAAAATGTAATCTTTATTCCCGTTTGTGACACTGTGAAGGCCTAAAATACGGGAACCAATCAGAAATGGATTCACATTGTCTTGACTCTCAGTATAAAGGGACTCTGTCGACACCCGCCGCTGGAGCTGTGGCGCAAAATTTGAATTTCGACAACTTTGTAGTCTTGACCAAATGCAAATGTGTTAAAAATGAACAAATAGCCACCTCACAAAGCAGATGAATTTTCTTCCTTAAAGAATTTGCTTGCACTGAATTTGTTCGTTTTTATCAACGGCAGACGGCCATATCTGTTCTCGGCGAAGACCGCGAGGTTGTTGAAGTTCAAATTTCGCGCCATAGCCCTAGTAGCGGCAGCCGAATGCCGAGTTCTGGCCAAAAGGGTCGGGAAGAGCAAACCTGCGTTTCACTTACCTTGATCCAGACTGAAGGCCTAAATACACACGGCGATTAATCGCCGCGAGTGAAAGACGGAAGCCAATGGAGAGCCTTCATTTCGATAGATCGACGTCAATGGATCGAAATCAAGGCTCTCCATTGGCTTTCGTCTTTCACTCGCGGCATTTAATCGCCGTGTGTATTTAGGCCTTGAACTTCGTGCTTATTACTACCACTCCCGCCTCCCGAGTTATCAAGGGGGTTTTTTCCCCGCGGAAATGGGTCAGTTGCGCTGATCTTAGAATCGTGTTTTGATATTTGATTCTTGTCGATTATCTGTCATCATTAAGCGCATATGAGTGTTGACTTCCGAAAGTAATTTGTACATTATATGGACGTATTTCTATCAAACGGAAATATGTGCATTACGTCATGAGCCCTGAGATCTATAAGCATACACGTATAACAGGGCTCACGTCATTATGCACATAGTTCCGTTTGATAGAAATACGTCCATATGGAAGAGAAATGCGCGGGATTTCTATAATATATTGTCCCAACACTTGAAAATCTAGTAAGAAAATCCACGGTGTACACTTCACGTCTGGGTCGAGTTTACCTTCTGAAAACCCGAATGACGTAAGATCCGAGAGAAGGATGTATTTTTGCGGGAATTTCGTTCCTACAGAGCGGATATACCCACCCCTCATTCATGTCACTCGGGTTTCCTGCCTACAGATTAGGTTGTGAAGTTTTGAACTTCGGATTTCACCCCGAGCTTCCTAACGATACAGCGGGTTAGTACTGCCATGAATGCACCGCTCTCTAATTGGTTTACCAGGTTTAGACCTTTCTTGAGGCTCTTAGGGTCAACTTTAACAAGCTTAACTTCAAAATTCGCCGTTAACCTCACGAAGGAACGTAACTCCATTCCAAGGTTGCCAAATTGACCTAAGCAATGGGCCTGTTGCAAACTTTTGCTAGAGCAAAAATAAGAGTTGTTTCTTGTAGATAATGCCTAAAAAATCACGATGAGCGCATCGGCAAAGTCTGAAATGCACTCATAACTTCACAATCTGCGTAAGAAATTTGCGTTTTTTTAAGCTTCCCGCTTCAAAAACGATACTACGGCACAGATGAACATTTTGTTAGAGGAGTCGCTCCATCGTCGGCGATATTCATCATGGCCGACGCTTGCGCGCAGTTCCGCGCGTAATTCGAGGAGAGTTCAAGGGCAATCAATTCGGGCGTGGAAAATATGAACGTTAACACACCGATTATTATCTGGTCTAATCCAGTTCAGGTGTTATCTCGTCCCATCAAACGTGTTTTGGCGGATTGGCGTCGGCCATGATGATTATTGCCGACGATGGAACGACTCCTCTTACAAAATGTTCACCTGTGCCGTAGTATCGTTTTTGAAGCGGGAAGCTCAAAAAACCGCAAATTTCTTACGCAGACTGTGAAGTTATGAGTACATTTCAGACTTTGCCGATGCGCTCATCGTGATTTTTGAGGCATTATCTATAAGAAACAACTCTTATTTTTGCTCTAGCAAAAGTTTGCAACAGGCCCATTATTGATTACACAAAAATGTTCCTGTGCCTTATTTACCTTTTCAAAATGATTCTGATTTTTGCATGAAATCTGAGGAAAAATCAGGGAAATTCTCTGTGAGGAATGCTCAAGATTTTCCCGATTAATAGCCAATTTGCGAGGGTAACGATGAAATTATTGGTTCCTACTTTTTCTCCATCTGATTCCTCCTCTTTGCATGAATAACTTCGTCAAGCGTTCAGAGAAATCTCCATACCTTTGGAGCGAGTCAGGCTGTTATCAACAGTTTTTCTTTTCTTTTTTTCCCTTTTTTTCTTTTCTTTCTTTTTTAAACAAATGATGCGAGAAGACATATCGGTACAAGTTAGGAACACAATACGGCATAGACGCACAGACGCATGGTGAAACACTTCAGAGGCGTCCTGATTACGCTTTTGGAGAGGCTGATGCAGTGCATGGACCGGTCTTCAGTAAACTCACTGATGGCGGTTTCACTGTCAGGAACTTTACTCGTGAATCCTATTTTCCCCCGGGTTTTCACTTTATATCGCTTTTGATCAAAAATATTAACAAGAATAGTGTTTACACGTGTTACCATTGGTGCCCAATGAGCATAGACCTTACAAGATTTGACTGAAACGTAATTTTTATTTTTATTTTTTATTTTTTTATTATTTTTTTATTAGTTACAAGTGAGCTTTCATAATGAAAATACACGCTTTGTTTCTAACTCAAATAAAGAGAAAATACAAACAACAGAGCAGTTTGTTGAAACGGAATTGAAATTAATAAAAATCGGTTGAATCATCGGTTATTCATCGGTTATTCATCGATCCTCACAAAATTAACACATATATAAGAGGGATTAACTCATTGTTGGGCAAAAACAGGAATTCAATGTGGTAATTGGGCTCCAGATGACGCAGGCCTGGTCGGCGACTACAGCAATAAAGGAAGTGACCGAATTCATTCAAGTGAAATTTGACTCCTTCCCATACTGAGTGTATTATCTGAATCAGAGGCCATTAATTCTGTAAGCTGGGGTTTTCCAGCTATTCTCGTTACAGGCAAGCGCCTTCATTACCACTGACTATTACATATAATGTTGTGACTGTTTAACATTCACCAGCGAAGATGGCAAACCCTTAAAATAATTCGTGCATGATTTTACCTACATTTCAGGCAGCAGGAGCTAGGTGCGCTACGTTCTGTCTCAGATTAAATTTCTTCGTTTGAGAGGAAGAAGCTAATTTGAAGCGCATTTAATCATTTGCCTCATGAATTCTTTATCAGATTTGCTAGATCAATGCTATCTTTTAGGCCAAAGTGAAAAGAGGCTAAGTGAATGGAAGATGCATTCATAATGATTGATGATTGAGTGAGGTTAGACTCGCAAGCAATTGAAGGAGGTTAGAATCCTTGCTTTCTCATCAAAATTTTACGCATGACTCGGTGGATGCATTAAAAATTCATACATCCAATTAAAAGAAGAAGTTTTCATTTTTACTGTTTCGTCGATTGATATTTTAGTTTACAGTTGAGGAGTCTCTAAGTATGCTCATTTTCCACTCCTCCCCCTCCCCTCCACACCCCTCAAAGAATGTGAGATGAAAATATCAAAAGTTACAACTTAAAAGCATCAGAAAAAGTAGAGAAAGTACCTTAAAATCTAACCAGGGTATAGTTTCTTGCACGCAAGGATCTGTCCTCGACGACCAATCTATCTGGCTCCATTTCAAAGATTAAAATATGGAGAATATTCCTTTTTAACAAGTTTTTTTTTTTTTGTGACGAGTCCCGATACTTTTATTCAGGGCCCTGCGAACTTTTGATCAAGAAAACTGTTTTAATGAGCTGTCACCTTTACCAAATCTAGAGGTCCATTCGAGATCATCGCGATTATGATAAGAATTCGTGTTATTGAATCAAAGGATTAGTATGCCAATTTTCTTCGTAGAATTATTCTGCTGTTACTCGAATTAATCTATGGTCCGTGAAAATGAGTGTATGGTTCACGTAGCCTAACTTCTTGCTATACATCTATTCAGTTCGGAAGTACAGTCACATGCCCTGCACAATAATTTTATATTATAGGTTACGATATATGTGTGTGCTGTATTCCGTTTCCGCGATGCGCTTACTTTCCTACTTTTGCGTTAAAGTCTCCGATGAAAATGATTGTCACGATACACGATTCAGTTACCCGACCGTAACGTCCGAGGCAGTTGCCCATCCTCTGGGCCCATCTAAGGACAGTAGGGAGTTGATTTGAATCGTATTACTTTTAATGGCCGAATTTGCCAAAAATACCCCGTTTATCAAAAAAAAGGTGTTTTGGCGAGAAATTAGTCATAGAGGCTCGACTGAATTTTTGGCATCTCTTAAGATTAGTAGTGCTGACTTTTCATCACTATCTGGCGCCAATGAATTCCCCGTTCGTCCCAATCCTTCACGTAGTTCTTGATTTACGGCGATATTGATTTTCGTGATTATCAAGGAATTTTGTGGTTATCAAAGAATATAAAACCATAATTGATCGCTTCGTGGTCAAACCTCCCGCGTCGCGCTTTGCGTCTAAGGCCTCATGCGTTATGCGTTATTCGTTATTCGTTATGCGTTGATTATGTTCTAGTATGCATCGCATCTCGGCATCAAACCTTTGGAATTATTCTTCATCGCGTCTTACGACAAAATCGAAGGGTCTTGAGACTTTTGATGGGCGTCATCTGGATTTCGGACCCGGGTTATTGTCACGCTGAAACATAATCCGATAAAACTATTACGGAGGAGGGAAGTCCACTTCACAGGCACTGTCAAACTGAAAAAACGAACGGAATTCACACCGAAAACAAAAACCAGTTCCTCCCAACTACCGGGCAAACAGTGTTGCCCCTATGGGCCAAAACCCAGTAAACTTTAAGTTTCATTGACCCATCTTGTTTTGAATCGTTGAATTTAATATTCATTTTCAATCATTTGTATTTTCGTATCTCGTACAAAGTTTGCCCCTCGGTCCATAAGAGTTGCATTCATATAGCCGTTCTTTAATTATTGAGACCACAAGAATGGAGATGTTGCATGTGTGAGGAATTTGCGATTTGACTGTTGATTCTTACGTAGAAGTTCGCGAGAATCACGATGGTGCGACTGGTTTTCTCTGAATTCATCTCCCAAGCTCAAAAACAGCTCTCGTTGAGACCAAAATGGAGTGGATATCCCACGCTATCCCGAGAGTCCACTTCTACATCAAAACAAACTCTCCATGCAAAGATAGGGAGCAAATACATTAGCAGTGATGCCGTATGTTCAGTTTTGAAGTCCCCAAAGAAAGTGGCAACCCTGCTACTGTATGTTTGCTCCCTATCTTTGCATGGAGAGTTTGTTTTGATGTAAGGGTGGACTCCCAGGGTAGGGTGGGATATCCCCTCGATTTTAGCCTCACTTTGAGAGCTTTTTTGGAGCTTGGAAGATTATTTCAGAGAAATTCAGAGGCATCATCGTGTTTCTCGCGAACTTTTACACAAGAATCAATGGTCAAATCGCATAAATTCCTCACACATGCAACATCTCCATTATTCAGACTTTAAGAATTGCATTGGTTAGGGGATAACATTTAAGGAACGACTATAACTACCTACGACCCTTCGTCTTACACGTGTCCCAAAGTATTTTTTAAATTTTTTATCTTTTCATCTGTTTAGGCGTATCCCTTCGTTAATTATGAGCAGCTCCTCCACCGCAGAAACAAAAGAGGGCTTAAGAAACCCGTGGAAAGCGGCAAAGTTGGCGGACTAAGCCGAGGCGCAGGAGTGACAAATAATTCGGCTCCTGTCGCAAGTATACAACAAATTCGTTCGGAATGCCACTTAGACTTGGCCAATACCGTTACCTATGATTCAAGTTCCTTCCGCGGCGCAGCGTTGAGCTTGTGGCGCGGCGCGGCGGTAGGCTAGGCCGTTGCGACCCGGCGAAGGCGGCGCGACTTGGGGCTTCGCCGCACGCGTCACGTCTGTTTTGTCGCCGTGCACGCTTCGAGAGCTTGAATAAAAATCGCTGCACTCAACCGAGCTCTCGCATGCAGCGCCGATTTTCCATTTAACCATCCGTGCCTCAGTGAAATTTCGCGAATTTCACGCTCATCCTCCCGTGCTAGGGAAGAACGCCGCATGAACATTCAAGAGTTGCCAAATTTCCTTCGGTAAAATGTTTATTTTGGAGGAAAGTTATGGATATTTTTCTTTGAAATTTTCAGGGATTTTTGGTGAGACTGCGAACAAAATAATCTGAAAAATTGGAAGAAAATATTCATAGGTTTACCAAGATATTCGTGTTTTGTCGAAGGAAATTTGGCAACGCCTAAAGGCTCATACGGCGTTTTTACTTAACTCGGCAGTATGCCACTGGTGATGTTCCCTCTGCTTCTGTGTATAATGCATGTGCAGTGAGAGTGTGGCCATTGGAGGATCCAATTCTGATTGGCTCAGCTATCTTAGGCTTCGTGGAGCTCCCAGGGTAAAACACATGGCGGAGTTTTATGTAGATGATCAAAATGAACGCTGCATGCAAACGATTCAAAATTACAGAGAATAAGGTTTCATTTACTTGTATGTATCTCCGCCAAGTTTTAATCAAATGGAATAGTCTGGGATATTCACTCAGTTTTAAAATCAATTCTGTGCATCACATTTAAACAAGCCTTCTTTAAACCTCTAGTATGGTGAGGTTGGTAACGCGTGCAAAGGGCTGGCAACAATCCCATCCACCCTGAGTCGTCGCTATCTTATTTTATCTTGAGGGTTTACATGGGACCCATGGTCCATACTATATTCAGGTTAGTTTACGTTTAGGAATCTAAAGGAAAGGGAAAAAACTGAAAAAATATGCTTCACATTAGAAAACTTATGGATATTATTACATAATCAACATGCAAAAACTTCTAATGAAATTCTCAAATAGGAAATGTTATCTTGATGAGGATTTGGCAACAATTTTCAAACATGTGGGTACGTGGGCTCTAGAAGTGACACAATGCCATTCTAATAGCACCTTATAGACAAAAAATGTTTAGTTCTTCATTCTTGTCATTGCATACAAATTTGCAGTGAGAAGATGACGATATTTTATGCAGATTTTCTGTATTCTGTGGGTTACAATGTGATAACTACTCGAATGATAATTGTAAGTGTCACCAAACGAAGCTGTCCGGGACATTTCGACGTTTCTTCGGAGCGCTAAGTATCGAGTCACAGGAACGGAACGTCACATCAAATATATCAATTTTGGAGACATACACTGAGGTAGCAACCCAGATAAATTTTAACCAGTAAACAAGTGATAGCTTTTGATAAGATTTTCTCTTACTGTTTCAATTTCCTCGTGCACACGCGTCGAGCATGAATATGCATATTAGAACAAAAGTTAAAAGGGAAAAAATTCACGTTTGATTAAAATAATTACACTGTGATAAACATAACAGAATTACGGATATCTGCAATTTCAAGACAAGTTTTTTATCTATTAAAATGGATATTATCATGTCCGAATGATGCGACGACAAAATTACATTGAAAAGGAACAAAAAAAACAAGCTAGAGGGAAAAACGTAAAAAAAAATAATAACGAACGAAAAAACACAAAAAACAAAAGTTTCCGGACCGAAAGGAAGTATTTCAGCTAACCGTACATCACAGACCGAGAGGACAGAATACACTTATTCTTACATAGAGGGACTCATTGACTTGTCTTAGGTATCTCAACTAAAATTGCAACCGGTGATAAAATAAAGATACGATGCGAGATTCAGCGAAACGCTATTGTTTCCGGAAAAATTAGTTGCTTAATGAACAGCTGTAACTTAATTTTAAAATTGTAAACCATTTATATGGCTCATGCATGTAACATTTAATTAAAATTGAGTCTCTGACTTTTTTCTCTCTCTCTTTCTTTTTTTTCTTATTTTTTGAGTTACGAGAGAAGAGTTTTTAAAACATGCTCTCTCTTATAGATATTTAGAGAAATGAAAATTTTTGGCTCAACCTGACAAAAGTTTCCTCTGAAAAACTTCTAAGTCTAAAAATCACTCACTACTTTGGGTTTAGGTAAAAATTAACAATATAAAATTAATGTCTACTTTTGACAAAAGTTGTAAACAAATTTTTCCCGTGCGAATTGCTAAATGTGTCTCAGATTGTCCAGAAGCAAAGAGCTTACCCTTCTGTCACCTTAAAGAAAAAAAAAATGTACGCCGGTGTTTGACGGTACAGCTGAATCTCGCAACGTAACCTTTTACAAAAACGATTTCCTACGCTTACTACTACCCTAATATCACAACTGACTCTTTTCTCAAAAACAGAATAGAGCACCTTAACAAGAATATTACGAAAAAAATTGTTTCTAAAAAATTTCTGCTTCCTTAAAAAAATTAATATAAAAAACAGGATTTACACAAAGTGCCCTTAGCTTCCTCGATAGAACCGACTTCTAACTCTGTAAAATTAAAGAACAGAATAGTACCGTAATTAAGATCTCGTAACTTTGAAGTTGTAAAAGAATTTTAAAAAAAAACATGGGATTCTGCCATTATAACTTCTTGAACATTCGGAAACCAATTACCTATGTGAGATCAAATTTTAAGAAAAACCGCACGATACAGAAAAAATAATAATTTGACAACAATTTTGCAAGTTTTCATAAAGTCCATTCAAGATTACATGACTGTGAAACTACGATAGGAAAACACGGTTTTATATCGCGTGATTTTCAAACTGTTCTCTCCTTATTACGCAGCAAAGAAATTAAATAGACCTGTCGGAAAGTCGAATTTAAGCTTTTGGATCGCACCCTGTTCGAAAAAACGAACGATAAGTTCAAAAATCAAATGAGACAAGTGTGTCAAAACACTGACAATAAGTAATTTGAACATTGTTAAAAGGTCAAAAATATAAAGGGATCCGTAACATAACATGTGCTTGAATGTAAACATTTTTCTTGAAATTATACTAATTGGAATTGAATTCAATTTTAATCGCATCAGCGTCGATTGGAGGTGATTTGTAAAGAGCTGGATTTGCCACAGCAATAATATTATCTCCACTAGTTGCAACAACCTGAAATAATACAAAGCAAAAAAAAAAAATTAATACATAATTTGAACATACATTCAGAAACGCAGTTTTTGTAGAGTCCTGCGATTTTGAGTCAAGGATACGTCAGACTAAAATTTTTTATTTATTTTTCTCATAATGATGTTTTTACGGTTACAAAATTGAAATATTCATGTCTTTCGTTTGGCTTGATTTTTTTTCTTTTATTTTTTTTTGATGGGGGGGGGGGGG